CGCAACGCGACCGCGCGCGTAGCGAATCGCGCGATTCGCTAAGGTAAGTCTGACATCGGCCTTAACCTGATGCTGATACACAGTTTTAACCTCCGGCTAAAACCCAAAGGCCAAAAAGGAGGTCAAGTAGGAAGACTATTTAACTGCTGAAGCAACAAATTTTACGCATTTTTTTCACACTTCACTATCTCCAACGGTCATCATATAAAAAACAACGATCTTCCAAAAATCGAATTGCAACACCTCTCTTGAGGAATCCCTGGCCGGGGTTCACCTACCAACAACTGCTCACCATTCAAGCATGGCCTATTCAGGAATTATAGTCAAATTCAAAACAATTCGAATGATCCTCCGTGGGTACACAATTACCCTCCGTAGGAATCCCAGCCGAATTAAAGGAAGAAATCTTTCGAAAGGCGAAAAAACTTACAACATTGGTTTTCTTCATGACTGCAATCTCAATATTTTGAGCACCCGATTGAACTACCTGAAATTTAATATACCTCAAGATGTGGCTTCTCTCATGCGAAATGCTTGATCAAAAAAAAACAAGTCAAGCACCTGAGAAAGGGCCTTAACTACAAGTTTGAGAGTGGATGCCTCGTCCTTTATAGTGTCATCTCCGTAATGTTCTTCCAAGTACTCACGAACGGGTTTCTCACCACGACCAGTAGAATTAGCCTAAACTACCAACTCTAGAAATGATTTCTTGGCAAACCTACCGACTTTCCTATAGAAGTAGAAAATGAAGAAATGGATTGAAAACGCCTACCAGATACTCATAGTAGGCACCAGAAGGTTCCGTTTTAAAGAGCCGTGGATGACCATCGAAATCAAATCCACCAATTAACATCGAAATTCCGAACGGCCGACGACCAGGAGATTGTGTGAAACGCTACAAAGAACGCACTAATTCAAACATCTGCATAGGAGAGCTCCGCATTTTCAGAAGAAGCAACAAAGCTCGTCAAGATAAAGAAACAAACCTGCTTGGTATTTGCGATATACCTCGAAATATATGCCACTGTCACAGGATCTTCAAGGGTTAACTTGTACGATTGACATTCGATGCGAGCGCGATCGACGAGCACACGCGCGTCGGCCGAAAGACCTTACAAAGAAAGTTTAGATAATCGGATTCATTTATCATTGAGATGTGCTCCACTTAGACGCATCCTCTACAGGTTGCCCAAGTCGTGCACACCAACAGAAAGCCATACGAAAAATCAAATATTTGATGCTGAATTGAAAGAGTACAAAAGAGTAAGAGTTGCTCTACCAGCAAAAGCAAGCATCACATGGTCGTCGATCATATGGATCTTTCGGAATCGTTCTGTCATCCTGAAGTGCCGGAATTGACTTCTTCTCCACTCCGATCACGACACAGTCCTTTCCTCGTACACCCACCTGCAAGAAATTAATGGTTACAATGACACCAGGAGTACCATTTGGAATGAATTCACCACGCTCAGCCTCCCGAACTCATTACTTCGCAATTCTATGAAAACGAATGCAATCAGTAGTAGAGGTTGGAGAATGAGGTGAGGGAGATGAGCCAGCATTATTTCGACTACTCAAATCAAACAAGTTCAAACAAGTTGTGAGAATAGTAATCAAATAACAACTAGCCATTAATTAATGCTATTGCAAGGAAGGGGCGGAAGTGGTGTAGTGACAAGTGGCGCGCTCACCACGCGAGCGGTCCGGGGATCAAATCCTGGGTCGTGAGTCGCCCGGGCCAACCAAGCCTTCCATCCCTCC